TCTCCTTGATATCTCCATTGAATGAGAACAGGGTTAAGTGCAGAGTGAGCAGGAGTAGTTTCTTAGGCCAACTGTGAAGGCTTGAACTAGGTTTAGATGCTCAAGAGATACAATTCAGATGAGAATTTTGCAAGCATGGGCACCAAGTCATTATGATGGTTAACTATTACAACACTTCGGACAAACTTTTCTTAAAAGTAAGAACTTGCAGAGTAAAATAAACTTTCAACTTGAAGTTCACTTGGAGAAAAAAAAAAAAAGACACAACAAGATGCCTGTTTAATTTCTCCTACATAAGAGATTAAACAAGAGTACTATGTCAAATTACTTATAGCTGTAGTGATTTTAAAAAAAATAAAGGAATGATAGACACAGTATAGCTGTGTCAATGTAAAATGAAACCACTTTTGGCCTATCCTAATGATTAGTTCTGTTGTCTATAGTTTGTTATCCTCAGGGCATAGAAATAGTAAAACCATTTTAAATTTGTTACTTTTAACTAAAATTCCATCGGATGATGTCCCAAATGACTTTTTTCTCCAAATCCTAATGAATACATGCCTGTAGCTGAGTGTTATAGGGAGTATCATCTAAAAGTATCAAGTCTAACAAACTTCTAAGAACTTCTAAGGAGATGGCTCATCATAAAAATATATGAAAATAAATTTTTAAAGCAAGTGTAGTATACTCAATATTTTTAAATGTTTAGTAGAAAATTTTCCCATTCTATGAAATAAGTATTATATCCACTTCTCATTCTCCTAGACTTTGTTTTCCTCTAGTGTTTCTGAGCACTTCTGTGAAGTGACTCAGATATGGCCGGCTTCCTGGACATCACACCTTTTCTGTGAACATCCTACACTCCAGGAAAGGTCTTTCTCAATAAGTACACAGGAGTCATTAATATGCTTTGTCCCATTTCAAAGGCTAAAAGGAAATGAAATATATGATTGGTTTGCATTGTTAAATAAGAAATGGCCTAGGAATTATTGATGGGTAGAAATAAGAGAAAATGTTTATTAAGAGATATATTTAAGAACCAAATAAAATATTTTAAAAAGAGACCAGTTTATCACAGTTCCTCAATGTAAAGTTAATTATATGAGAAAAGCCATCAATTTCTCAGTAGATACTTAACATCAAACAACATATATGTACTAAAGGGCTACTACATAAAGCACCAAGGGCTATGAAAATATATATGCAAAAGTTTGTTTACTGCTGTGTTTATACTATATATAAAATGAATATACAAATTAAGACATTATTTTTGACAAAAAATTATTGTATATAAAGGTAGGAAAAGGGAAGGATATATATCAAAATGTTTTCTTTGGGTATATGGAATTTTTCTTTTTTGCTTAATTGTATTTTCTAAATTGTCTACAATGAACGTATATTATTACTATTGCAAAAAGAAAAAAACTCATATTTTACCAAGAAACCTCCACTGTGGTGGGCAGCATAATTGCCCCCCAAAGATGTCTATGTCTCAATCCCTGAAATCTCTGAATATGCTACCTTACACAGCAAAAAGGACTTTGCAGTTGTAATTAACTTAAAAGATTGGAAGATTATCCGAATGATCCTCAGGTAATCATAAAGGTCTTTATAGGAGGAAGGCAGAAGTGTCAGGGTCAGCATGAGAGAGATTGGAAGATGCTATGCTGCTGGCTTTGATTATGGAGGACAGGACCACAAGCCAAAGAATGCAGGTAGCCTCTGAAAGCTGGCCAAGGAATGAGATTCTTCCCTGGGGCCTCCAAAAGGAATGTAGCCCTGTGGACACCTTGATTTTCATACAAGAAGACCCATTTTAGATTTCTGGCTTACATTATTGCAACATGATAAATTTGTATGTTTTAAATGACTAATTTTGTGGTAATTTGTCACGGCAGCAATAGAAGATGAATGCACTAGCCTAATAATATAAAGCAATCATTGTGATGCACCAAAAAAGGAACCATGAATGCTAAAAAACAAAGATGGACATACAACATGTATCTGGAGGTCAGTTAGGAAAAAAAATAAATCAGCCTTGCTTGTTACAGGTGGGGATTTATGGACAGACGGAGTGGCAAATATGTATGGGACACAAAAATGAGATCAAATTGTGAATTTAAATTGATTCTTTAAATTAAGCCAAATTTGACTTCAGGGAAAGGGAATTTGGTTTTTGAAAAGCAGTTACTATACTGCCATTTTATACATTCAAAACTCGATGTTTTCTGCCAATGCATTTACTAACAATAAATTTTGTTACTTTTTTTTGAGTTTCAATCTCAATCCCTCATCTATAACATGTGGGCACTAAACTAGAGAGAATTAAGGCCCTTCCCAACCTACCATTCTAAAAGTCCTTGAATAATGGTACTAATTTGTTTTTGTGAAAACTGTTAAAAGAAGAAAAATTAGACATTTATCCTGCCTTTCCGTCTGAACCATATGTCAAGGTTACCAAACAGAGGAGATGGGGAGTTTCTTTTTACAAAAGTAGTCTAACTGAAATATCGAGAAAGACAGACAGAATTGGAATACCACCATTTTGCAGTCCCTCAATGAATTAATGGATCCAGGCAATGATCATCAATAACTGCTAACATCACAAAAAGAAAAACAGCAGATAATATATTGTTCTTGATGGAAGCACACAGACCACCTATAAAATATGTTTGGTAGGCCTCAAGATCTAACGACCAGCTTATAGGAAATACCACTGAAAGGGGAGCATGTTAAATGAATTCTGGCTCCTTTTATAGAACTAAGAGAACAAACCATAGAGATATTTAGTTCAATCCTATCATTTCACAAGAAGGAAAGTTGAGGACCCAAGGGAACGTAAGTATGTATTAGCCCCTGTTCCAGTCATCTATTGCTGCATAATCAGTCATCCAAACAACTTTTTTTAAAATTTTTTTTTTGAGACAGAATCTCTCTGTGTTCCCCAGGCTGAAGTGCAGTGGTACAATCTTGGCTCACTGCAAACTCTGCCTCCCAGGTTCAAGTGATTCTCATGCCCTAGCCTCCCCAGTAGATGAGATTACAGGCATGCACCACCAGGTCCAGCTAAATTTTGTATTTTTAGTAGACACGGGGTCTTGCCATATTGGCCAGGCTGATCTCAAATCCCTGGCCTCAAGTGATCTGCCCACCATGGCCTCCCAAAGTGCTGGGATTACAAGTGTGAGCCACCAAGCCAGGCCTATCCAAATAATTTTGAGGCTTAAAACGATAATTGGCTGGGTGTGGTGGCTCATGCCTGTAATCCCAGCACTTTGGGAGGCCGAGGTGGGTGGATCACCTGAGGTCAGGGGTTCAAGACCAGCCTGACCAATATGGTGAAACTCTGTCTCTACTAAAAAATACAAAAAAGTTATCCAGGCATGGTGGTGGGTGCCTGTAACCCCAACTACTTGGGAGGCTGAGGCAGGACAATTGCTTGAACCTGGGAGGTGGAAGTTTAAATGAGCCAAGATGGCGCCATAGAACTCTAGCCTGGGCGACAAGAGCGAAACTCCATCAATACATAACAACAACAATCATTTATCATCTCTCCTGGTTCTGGGGTTAACTGGAGCCAGCTGTGGTTCTCACTTGGGATTCCTCATGCAGTTACAGCCAGATGGTGGTTGGGGCTGGAGTCATCTTAAAGGCTTCTCACTCAAATCTGGTGGCGAGGGCTTCAGCTGGGAATATCAGCTGGATCACTGGGGTCTTGGCCTCTTCACATAAGGGTGACTGGGTTCTAAGGGCAAGTATCCCCAAAATAACCAGGCAGAAGCTGCATCACTTTTTATGATCCAAACTCTTAAGTCACATGGCACCAATTAAGCTGTAGTCACCAGCCCACTCAGATTCAATGACAAAGAGCACAACTCTCTGTAGGAGGAGTATCAACACTACATTTTAAGAAAGTGTGCAGATCCTGTTGAGATCATTCTGGAACACATACTTTGCCACAGATGCCCTTCCTACAAGATTGTATATGATCCTCCTTGTAAACCCCTATGATGACACTTACCAGTGAGGAACTGCCTGCCTATCTGTAACCCATCTCTTCCACTAAAACATAGCTCCTTTCAAGAAATAATTGGATCAGTAAAGTAATCTTTTATTCCTGGCACTTAGCAGACGCTAAAAAAACAAATTGTCAAATCAGTGAACAAACAAATGAAATTCAGATTTAAAGCTGGAAATATTTGAAAATGTATCTGTAAATGTTCTTCATTTAAACCTCTTATGCTAGATAAACTTAAAAGACTGTCAGCTTTTAGAACTTATTACTTTTAAATTTTAGTAATGATATATCCTCACATTTGACTCATTTATCTATAAGTAATAAGATTGCTACTAACTCAAACATTGTATCTAACAGCTTAAAATTTATCAGCAACACAAAATGCTCATTTTAATATGTATTCAGAATAACTTGTGGGTTTATTTTTCTTGAAAATTGGTGGGATATTTTATGACACATATATTTTATGACACACGCCCTTAAAAGGAAATTTATGTATAATAACCACTGTTGCTAAATATGCCAAATGAAACAGTTGCAAACCACTCCAAGAACTTAGTGTACTCAAGTGCAAACATAGAATTTAAAAGTATTTTTATTCATAAATTATATATTTTTGTATCCTGTTACTGGATATAGCCATTCAAACCTAAATTATCACTCTATGATCAACTTTTTTTTCTTGTCAGCAAATATAACCAAGATGAAATAAAATTACATAATTCAAAACTTGAAAATTAGGTAAGCTATTTCTTGGCCTGAACAAGGCACACACATATTCAACACACTGAACTGGTTATTTTAGAACACTATACCTTGTAGTGTACCATGTGTAACCATTTCTCTACTGTACCAAATGTCATTAATCAGGTCTTAATCTGTGGAGACTGTATGTAATTGCTTTTATCACATTTCCCGCAAGGTGTCATCGTTAATCATGTATCTCTGTAAACAAGGATGGATGTGTACCAGCAACACTTACCAATGAGTACCTGACCACTCTTCATAGCAGATCCCCCTGGCAGCAGGCCATGAACCACAAGCCTCTCTCCATCACCCTGCTTTCCAGTTCTTCTCCAGCTCCACTTGGTCTGATGAATAATTCCAACCAGCACTTCCAGAAGCTTGAGCTGCTCTTTGGCTTTGATGACAGTTAGCTTTTTGGGGTTTACATAAACATTCACATCTTTGTACCGCTGTTGGACAATGACTCCTGTCTTCTGATTGGACTGATGCTTTAGAATGGATACTGGTCCATTGTCATTGCTATTTTTTTTATTGCAGCGCTTGGGTAAAAGTCTTTTCCTTCTTAAAATTTTGGTAAACTGCTTGAGTTTGGGTTCATACTTTTTTCTTTCTTTGTAATCATCTTCAATGATAATCTCATTTTCACTGAACCTGACATGGTTCACAGTTGGTGTCTCAGGAAGGAGGCTTTCTTCTTCATCCTCACTCAGTTCCAAATAAAACAGCTCTCCATTTTTCTGCACACTGTCCAGCCATTCAGGCTCAAGATCACTATGAAAGAGAGAAAAGATAATCTTAATAGCAGCCCAATATATATTAAGAAAGGCATGTCATCCTGGCATGGGAGTGAGGGTAGAGGCTGGGGAGCAGGAAGATGGGAAAGGGTGAAACTTCTTTATTATTTCAAATTATCCTTACTATTTCTAATTTATGGTGAGCCTCAACATTATTTCCTATAGGATGCTTTTTTTGTAGAGCTTTGAAGAATAGGAGTTGGGGGAGAAGGAATCAAAAAGGCATAGCAATAGAAAGGAAAACCAATGAAAAAAAAAGATGGTCCCCTTATAGAATCTATGAGTTGAAAAAAATTAAATCAACCACTGTGTGGTTACTGTTCACTTTAAACAATTTCACTGAATGATAATTTGCATTAGCAGTTAATTATGCAATTATATCCACAGAAGTATGCCACTTGGAAATTGTACATGAAAATATATTATAATATATATAATAAATTATTTAGGATGGTTGTCAGGTTAAAATGAAAGCTAAAGCCTACCAGCTTTAACAGACTTTTTCATAAGTTTTCAAAACAGAAACACCCACTTCACCATGAACTAAAATCTGCCCTGAAAACAACCCATTTATAATCACAGTTAATATAGTAATGATCACTTTACAGTCTATAATTTCCATAAAGCTCCTTTTTATGAAAAACTGTAGTAGAAAAAACAAAGCATATATTACATAATTCATCATGTGATTACAAAAAATATTTTTAACTGGGAAGTATGCTGCTGAAAAAAAACCAAATTACTGCTATTAAAATGATTGAAATAGCATTAAGAAGCAAACATACTCATGGTAACAAACCTAAACTCTACCCTGTTCAATGTTATGAACAGTTTACCTTTCAAACTGCTCTTCTTTAAAGTGAAACTAGTCATAGCAGAAAAATTAACATGTAGAGAGTCTTTTCAGAAACATGAGCTGTAATATCCCGGCCTGAAAGAGTGTAATTTGTGTTCTAATCATTAAATCAGATAGAAGACATTTCTGTTTTCTGCAGTGTTTATTAGCAACTCCAGTTCTTTTAACTTAAAAGTCAAATGTCTCTTTCTAAATACTTTGAAAATTAGTCCCCAAAATATACTATTCTATTACTCAACTCAAACTAACCACTGCTCTCGTCTGTGGCTGGTTGTTAATATAAAATTTTCAACTACATATGAGTCATTTAAAAATAATGCCTAACAAGCTCAAAATGTCAAAACTAACATTTCTTTGGGACTTGTTGGTTCCCAGTGTGTGGCATCATCATAGACACTAAGCCTCATTTGTTACAGATTATTAACCAAATATCGCTTATTTCAACCATACCTATCTGTACCCATGGAATCAATATTTAAATAACTATGCAGTTCTACTCTTGAGAGTCTAAATAACTATATCCCCACCATAATCATTTAGATAACAAAGCTACCTTAATTTTAATTGCTACAGTGTAAATACCATGATTGCACATTAATTACTTAAAAACATATGTATCAATTTAATATATATATCAATTTAAAGAATGAATAAAGTGTATCAGCCTTATTATCTCACCCTTTTAACCTGGTAAGTTATTTGTATTAGAGATATATAAAAGAAACATTTTCTTCCACTTGCTAAATACGAAGATGATTCATTTCAATCTCTAAAATTTGAATGTGAAATCACTTTTGGTTATGATTCAAAGATCCAATCCAAGCAGGTGGGGGCCAAGGGGATAGCATCTTGGCATTCAATTGTGGAGCAACTAAACAGCGCCAGGAACTGTGGTAAGTACCAGAATTATAATGATGAGAATGTCAGTTCCCGCCCTCGATTAGTAAAGAAGAGAAAGTGAGGAAGAATTCATGACAGTACATAGGGTAAGTACAAGACAGAGGCATACAGGAGAGTCACCCAGCTTAGCCTAGCTGGAAGTTGAGGGGAGATCAGGGAGACCCCAGAAATCAGTTTGAAAAGGATAAATGGGGGAGGGAGAGAAATGGGGAGCTGAAGGGAAAGCCGTGAAGAGGATTTCAAACAGGAGTAACAGCATAAGCAAAGACCTGATGATAGTCCCCATGACCTAGACGGAGAACCACTGGCAGTCTGCAGTTGCCAGAGTAAATGTGGAAGGTGGGGAATGACAGAAGTGGTCAAGCCTTAGTTTTGCCAGGGTTTTTAGATCACCCTAAGGGGTTTGGCTTTTGTAGTGCAGGTGAGAAGGCATCAACAAAGAGTTTTAAGTAGAGAGTTTATGTCTTAGATATCCCTGGATAGGCCTACTTTGGCAAGTAAATGGTTGGTGGATTTGAGGTGGACAAGACTTAAGTCAGGAGGACTAGTCAGGGGGCTATTTCAGTAGTTGAGGCAAAAATGACAAATAAAGCAATAGAAGAGATGGAAAGTAGGAAACACATTTGAGAAACTCTTGAGAATCACCAGAACTCTGAGACTGATTAGGTGGGGAGAGAGAGAGAGCAGGATTCAGGTTGACTGGATTTCTAGTTGGTGACTATACTTTCATGCATCCTTTTGTGCATATCCATGTGCAGACTCATTGTAATAAATGGGAACACAATCTTAATACAAGTCATTTTCTCTTACTATCTCTCTCTCACATGAACACTGTTAAAAAATCCATGCTTTATAATCACATACAAACACATATAGGGTTATTCTGTCACTGTTTTTAAAAAGTGGAATCATTACATATGTACCTATATAAAGGTATATACTTAACTTCATAATTTCTCACTTAACAATACAGCTTAGAAATCACTAGTGGTTGCATAATATTCGATATCAAGGATGTAGGACATTTGGTCATTCACCTACTGATAAGCTTTGTGTTCAGTTCTTGTTTTTCCACCACAAAGCTGTAGGAACCATCAATATACACGTGTGTGTGTGTGTGTGTGTGTGTGTGTATATATATCTTTACCCAAAAGACTATACCAATTTATATTTTCACTAGTGATATGTGGGATCCATTCTCTTAATGTCTAGATTTTTAAAGATACATCATTTTAAGAAGAGAAAGACATTTTTTAAAAAGAGGAAGAAACTAAAAGGAAGATAAAGAGGTAGAGACAGGGAAGTGTATATAAGAGACCCCACACAGAAGGGCAACTTATACTGAAAAGCAAATAAACTGAGAAATCATGAAGAGCTGAGTTCAAATTTTGTTCTATTACGATTTTAACCTTTTTAAGATCAACTGATTGATTGCTTTAGTTTTCCTCTTCTTGAAAACAGATTATAGCGGTGGTTCCAAGATGGTCAAATAGGAACAGCTCCAGTCTACAGCTCCCAGCGTGAGCGACGCAGAAGATGGGTGATTTCTGCATTTCCAACTGAGGTACCGGGTTCATCTCACTGGGGTTTGTCGGACAGTGGGTGCATGACAGTGGGTGCAGCGCACCAAACGTGAGCAGAGGTAGGGCGAGGCATCCCCTCACCCAGGAAGCGCAAGGGGTCAGGGAATTCCCTTTACTAGCCAAGCAAAGCAGTGACAGACAACACCTGGAAAATCGGGTCACTCCCACCCTAATACTTCGCTTTTCCAATGGTCTTAACAAAAGGCACACCAGGAGATTATATCCCGTGCCTGGCTCAGAGGCTTCCACACCCACAGAACCTCGCTCATTGCTAGCAAAGCTGTCTGAGATCCAACTGCAAGGCGGCAGCCAGGCTGGGGGAGGGGCGCCCGCTATTGCTGAAGCTGGAGTAGGTAAAAAAAGAGGCCTGAAGCTCCAACTGGGTGGAGCCCACCACAGCTAAAGGAGGCAAGCCTGCCTCTGTAGACTCCACTTCTGGGAGCAGCGCATAGCTGAATAAAAGGCAGCAGAAACCTCTGCAGACTTAAATGTCCCTGTCTGACAGCTTTGAAGAGAGTAGTGGTTCTCCCAGTATGGACCCTGAGATCTGAGAATGGACAGACTGCCTCCTCAAGTGGGTCCCTGAACCCCAAGTAGCCTAACTGAGAGGCACCCCCAGTAGGGGTAGACTAACACTTCACAAGGCTGGGTACCACTCTGAGACGAAACTGCCAGAAGAACAATCAGGCAGCAACATTTTCTGTTCAGCAATATTCGCTGTTCTGCAGCCTCCGCTGGTGATACCCAGGCAAACAGGGTCTGGAGTGGACCTCCAGCAAACTCCAACAGACCTGCAGCTGAGGGTTCTGACTGTTAGAAGGAAAACTAACAAACAGAAAGGACATCCACACCAAAACCCCATCTGTATATCACCATCATCAAAGACCAAAGGCAGATAAAACCACAAAGATGGGGAAAAAACAGAGCAGAAAAACTGAAAATTCTAAAAATCAGAGCGCCTCTCCTCCTCCAAAGGAACGCAGCTCCTCACCAGCAACGGAACAAAGCTGGACAGACAATGACTTTGATGAGTTGAGAGAAGAAGGCTTCAGAAGATCAAAATTCTCCGAGCTAAAGGAGGAAGTTCGAACCCACGGCACAGAAGTTAAAAACCTTGAAAAACGATTAGACGAATGGCTAACTAGAATAACCAATGCAGAGAAGTCCTTAAAGGACCTGATGGAGCTGAAAACCAAGGCACGAGAACTACGTGATGCATGCACAAGCTTCAGTAGCCTATTTGATCAACTGGAAGAAAGGGTATCAGAGACGGAAGATCAAATGAACGAAATGAAGCAAGAAGAGAAGTTTAGAGAAAAAAGAATAAAAAGAAAAGAACAAAGCCGCCAAGAAATATGGGACTATGTGAAAAGGTCAAATCTACATCTGATTGGTGTACCTGAAAGTGATGGGGAGAATGGAACCAAGTTGGAAAACACTCTTCAGGATATTATCCAGGAGAACTTCGCCAACCTAGCAAGGCAGGCCAACATTCAAATTCAGGAAATACAGAGAACACCACATAGATACTCCTTGAGAAGAGCAACTCCAAGACACATAATTGTCAGATTCACCAAGGTTGAAATGAAGAAAAAAAATGTTAAGGGCAGCCAGACAGAAAGGTCAGGTTACCCACAA